GCTGGACTTGCTTCAGTTTGTCAGTATTTTTCTTTCACTGAGGAACCCAGAATTGGACACCACATTCCAGATGTGGTCTCACAAGTGCTAGATAGAGGAGAAAGATCACTCCCCTTGTTCACCTGGTTTCACTGTTAGTAATACAGGCCAGGATGTGATTAGCTGTCTTTGCCACAAAGACACACTGCTGAATCTTGTTGAATGAAGATACTCCATCCTAGGTGCCCCAGTGAGGCAGCTTTTACAAAGGTAATGCAAGAGCCTTCACCATCCTGTTGTCCCCTAGCTGCTTCCTTACTGCCTTCAAGCCTTCACTTCTCTTCACAGCATGACAACCCCTCCCCAACACACCTAATTTAAAACTCTTCCCACTGTCTTAGTGAACCTTTTGGCAAAGACACTCTTGCCCCACTCTGACAGGGCAATGCCATCCCTGCACAGCAGTCCTTGTTCTTCAAAAAGTTTCCTATGGTCATAGAAACTGGAGGCCTGCTTGCATCACCAGCCACGCAGCGTCATGTTGACTGTGGGATGCATCCACTCCTACCTGAGCAGGGAGCCCCCTCACTGGGACGATTGAGGAGGTACCACGAGGGTCGCATCCCCCTCACTGTTATCTCAGGGCTTTCAGTCACCCTTGATACACTCAAGGTTACTCTGGTGATACCGTTGGTGCCGACATGGATGAGCAGTCAGGACACTTAACATTTAGTATATAGTTATTTTGGAAGAGAAGATAGAAAAAAAAAAAAAAGGAAAACAGCTTAGCGAGTGAACATGTTAAGCCAATGCCTTCACCAAGGCTTGTTTTCACGGAGTTTGTAGATGGAAGACAAAAGGAACCCACTGCAATGGGTACACTGGAGCCACTGCTGTCTTTGGTAGGAATCTGTCTCAGCAAAACGCAGTTGTTATAAAGAGCCATGAAAACCTGCGTGAGTGGGAATTCAACATTCTTAGCTCAGTTTGTTTAACGAGGGACAGGAAATGTGTCTGATGTCTTTTCCACCCAGCTTGTCATTAGCACCCACTAGCGGGTGTGGGAATAAACTGGTCAGTCTGGAAGTGGTTGACTTATCTCTGATCAAGAGCTGATGGCACAAAAATAATAGATGTAAAAGTCGTTGTTCTAAAGCTGTGGACACATGCAGAAACACAGCCCTACAACAGCTATTAGGCGATGTGCTCTTGGGGAGGTCTTTGTCCTAGCCAAGGACAGAGCCAAGGCTGCAAATTGTGCACTAGTCTGTGTCTAGGGATGGAAAACCACGTATGTGTTGTGTTGGAAGGACATAAGAAAATACAGAATAATTCAAATAATAATGTAAAAAGGAAAAGTAGGAAGTTGTAGGTCTGAAGTAGGAAGGAGTTGCTGCTTTAAGGTAGTTTTCAGGCAAACATTGATCAGATACTGCTAATGTTTGGTGCATCTTAATGCTATAAAAGGCACTTGAAAGATTCAGTCTGGTTTGTGCTGACCCACCATGTTGGGCTGTGGTCCTGCTGCAGTAAGGTGGTGTTGTTCCTCTGAGGTCAGTGATAGGAGGACCATACCTTTAGTGCAAAGAGATTTTTAGCATTCAGTGTTGACCTCTGCATGAGGACTAGAGTGAGTATTTGTAAATAGGCATCGCACGGGAAGCAGGGAAGATGGGGAAATATGTAATCAATGTTGTGGTCTGATACCTGAAGGTCTTAATCTGCAGCTACTCGGCTGGCATCTTATACATGTAGTTCATGGCAGCAGTGCCCAACCAAGAACAAGATTTCAAAGGTTTATACATAAGATTGACTTTGCACTTAGAGAGCACTTGGGGTAAAAAGTGAAGCATGTTCATAAGTCTTCTAAGGAACAAAGTTTAAACAAAATATTGTTAAATTTGTGTGCAAGCAGCAAAAAATGCAGGTGTTAAACAAAAAATTCAGATTTAAAGGGTAAAGAGGGCTTGGGGAGACAAAGAGAGGGACACAGGTTTAGCAAGTTGCTGCCTAGTCTGGAATGAAAGGAAAAAAAAAAAGACTTGAGCTGCAAACTCATCAAAAACACAGTTGTTAATTGAAAAGCTGACAGATCTGTAACTACAGCAGTGCTTCTGGCCGCCACTATAATAAATGTAACTGTACATTTAGAGTAATTTGCTAATTTGCCTAAGTAACACCCACAGACAGCAACATGACATAAATACATTAGTGGAAGCAACAACTATAACCAGCTCATACAGGTTCTTGACTGCTAGATGGATGGATCAGATGAGCTGGAAAAGATTTACAAAATAGAATAGAATTATTAACCATATTGTGGCATACAGGATTTCTTTATTTTCCTTTTTCCCAAGAAAGCTTTAAGGCATGTAGATGCCCATACATACTGTAGCATGTAAGTTACATTTTTAACTTGTGTGTGTACATGTACACCCAGAAAACTTACAGACTCATAGAATCATAGTGATTGGAAAATACCTGTCAGATCATTGAGTCCAACCATTAAAATTGTAGATATGGAGTACACATCTCGTAGATATGGAGTACACATCTTGTAGATATGGAGTACACATCTGCAAAATGCTAAGCATTTGAGAAGCAAAAATGACAAAATTTACATCTCAGATAGTCTTTCAGGTAAATAATTAAATCTCCCAACATTCAATGTGTAATTATAAATACCTGAAAAGCGTTTCTGTTAATAAATATTGTAAAGGCGCATATGTACTGGATCCACAAGAAAGACTGGAACCTGTACAATCAATTTTCCTAATACAGATGTTGCAAGTGTCTGAAATTTATACTTTAGAGTTACCCAGATCTTCTTCTTTGGTTAAATCATGAGTTCAACCATGTGGCACCTTCTCTGGGCTAGCACTGTTCTGTGTTTCCTGTTACCGTAACTCTGAATCACACTGTTGCATTTTATTCTTAAGTCCTACTCATGCCAACTTTTGCCACTGCATATTGACTGTTGTTTCACATTCTTTAAACATCCTACCTCTAGGTTAGGCTTGAGGTCACCACTGAAGGTTTCTATGTTATCAACAATACATTTTTAAAATAAAAAATTACAAGATTGCTGCAAGGTGGGTCCCATTTTCAATAAAATATTTATTTCTGCTCCCAGTCTCCTGTTCTGACTGCCTTCATCCTAATGCAGGTTAATAGTGGAGAAGCAAAGCTAATTAATGCAGCTTTATACAGTTTCTATCTTTGTTTCCTTTCAGATATACTGAAAAAGTTTCTGTTGAGCTTTTTGAGACAGGTGATGCCTGCTCTTAAGGGCAAAATCCAGTCGATAACCAAATGTGGAGTCAGGTGGAAAGTTTCTTTTGCAGTGCTGCTCTCAGGAAGAACCCACATGTGTAGGTGGGGTTGTTGTAAGCTTTTTCACTAAATATGGGTTGTAAAATATTCTTGAACATGAGTCACTTTAAATTATAGTCCATGGATCTAAGGAAGCCACTGAGAAAATGGAGCAGGAAAAAACATGGGATAGAGGCAAACTGCGAGACTTCTCTATGGAATGACGAGTTTTGACAGCTAAACCCAATCCCTGTCTTGCTTGGAGGCTTAATCTTAATGTCAGGGCAAAGACGGCAGCAGACCCCGCTGTCTGACCCAAGTTCTGAGTCTGTAAGACCTCCTCAGTACAAGCTGATAAAGACCGCAGCTCTGCGAGAAGAGGGCTGACATTATTTTATGAAGCGTTACAGACGGTCTTCTTTGAACCCTAATTTCTGTCAAAGAGCTATCATCACTGTCACAGTAAGTGATACTTGCAGCACAAATGGCAATTAACTAGAAGTAAATAGCAGAGCAGAAGTTTGCAGACTGGTTTTTAAGGTTGATGGGTTGAAAGTAATTTCAACACATTAATGCTAAGCATGCTTGTGTTGGGTTTGGGGGCCGGGGCATTTTTTGGTGGTGGGTAAAGGGGCTACAGAGATGTCCATGAGGAACATCAACAAAAACCAAAAGAAGACAACAACCAGAGGAGAGAGGAGGGGGGGATGTGAGAGAGACAACTACAGACACCCAGATGAGCAAGGAAAGAGGGGGAGGAGCTGAGTGGAGATTCCCCTGAAGCCCATGGAGGTTAGTGGTGGAGCAGATTCCCACATGTAGCCCCGGAGGACTCCACGCTGGAGTGGGAGGCTGTGCGCAAAGGCAGCTGTGACTATGTGGAGAGCTCACGACAGAGCAGAATACCCTAGAGACACTCACACCAGAGCCAAGGGAGGAGTTGTGCTGGAGTGGAGACCCATCTCCAGCCCATGGAGGTTCCCATGCCACAGCCAGGTGCTGTGCCCAAAGAAGTCCATCACGCTGTGGGAAGCCCACGTTGGAACATTTTGTTCCTGAGCTCTTTTAGCCCACAAAAGGGATCCCACGCCGGAGTGGTGGAGAGTGTGAGGAGGCATTCCCCTAAGGAGGAAAGAGCAGTAGAAACAATGTGTGACTGCAACCCTTATTCCCTGTTCCCCTGTGCTGCTGTTGGGAAGGAGATAGAGAAATTGAGAGCAAAGTAATTTGAGCCTGGGAAGAAGGGAGAAGTAGGGGGAAGGTGTTTTATGATGTAGTTATTATGTCTTATTATCCTACTTTGATTGATTGGTAACAAATTAATTTGAATTTTTCTTCTCCAAGTTGAGTCTGTTTTGCCCATGACTGCAATTGGTGAGTGAGCCCTCCCTGTCCTCATTTCGACCCACGAGCCCCTTTGTTATGTTTTTCTCTTCCCATCTCACTGGTGGGGGAGAGCGTGTGACTGACCGTGTGGTCTTAGCTGCCAGCTGCAGCTTAAACCACCACAATGGTAAATCATAGTGTGCCCTGAAAAAGGCACTCATATAATTTACCCCAAATCACCAGGAATTACAGTAACATCTAGAAGGGATATGCTCAATTGTGTCAAATATGTGAGCATATTATAGGAATTGATATTTGTGAGCCTGACTGTTTTATCACATTTTCCATAAAACACGTAATTTGTTTGTTTTTCACTGTTTTAGGTAGCCTGCCCTATGAATACAAGATTGTGATAGCAGGAAATCATGAATTGACCTTTGACCAGGAATTCATGGCTGACTTAATCAAGCAGGACTTTTACTATTTCCCCTCTGTTTCTAAGCTGAAGCCAGAGAGCTATGAAAATGTACAGTCTCTTCTAACAAACTGCATCTATCTTCAAGACTCTGAAGTGACGGTGAGGGGATTCAGAATATATGGCTCCCCTTGGTAAGCAGGTTTTTAAGCATACATAAAAAATATTGTTGATTGCTATCACATCAGCCATTTCTTAAGCATCAGCTGTATTTGGATTGCTGTGTTAGGAAGAAAAGTAATACTCAGTTTGATAAAGTTTTATATTTTCTTGTAATGAATCATTCCAATGACACAATAATGTACTTGTACTATGGGTATTGTTAACCAAATAATGATGGGAGGAAGATAATGTGCACTCGAAACTTTCAGCTAGGAGCAGTTCTCTAACATATTCCATGTAGGGGGATTTTGTGTCATAAAATATGTTTTCTGCACTTACAAAGTTTATATAATTACAGGTTAATTTTATTGCAAGGGTACATTCTTTTGACAATTTCCATCCTACAGATAATATTTAAGGTTCATTAGTGCATCCAGTAGGCATTTAATGCAGCAAGCTTGTTTTCATTATTTGTTTAGGCTTTTTTTTTTTTTTAATATCCCTCAGAATCTTACTTCTTTTATACAGTAATAGCTTTCCTCAAGATATAGTTGAGCTTCTAAACAAAAATCAACAAATGAGTGGCAATCTAGTATTTCATGGATTTTGCTCTGCTGCATAGAGCGAACACTTAGAACTCCTTGACAGTATCGTAGACAGATGGGCTTTGGCTTCTTGACCTCCACCTTGGATTTTGTATGTGCTGCTTCTTTGTCTCTTACTCATGTTGCATTACTACTATGTTTCTTTCTGCTAACAGGACTGTAAATTTGGTCTTTTATGAGCATTCGGTATACATTTAAAATAAGTTAAAATTTATTTTAAAAGGCAGGTTTGTAAAGGAATCTGTTATTATTCCTTTTAAAATCACATCAGGCTGGAATGTAGCAAACAAGTTGTCAAACCTGATTCATATACCCCAATGTGAATTTTCAGTGTGAATAAACTGTGAAATCTCTTGGATTTTTTTTTTTTTTAATGAAAATTGGCATTTTCCCATTTGGTTACTTGAGAGGGGTGTTAATTTTCTCTGAGCTTATTATTCTACATTTGTCTACATTAAATAGCTTCCCTCTTGAACGCACCCTTCTCTCTCTGCCTCTTAGATCTCCAGATATTTCTAGGTTTTTTCCAACCTACCCACCTGCTGTGTTGTAGTTCATCTTCCTCTTGTGTCTACTGTGTATTCAATCAATGTACAATTTACTTAATTTTCCAAATTATTAGGGAAGATATTAGATGGTATCAGTCCCAATATTAACTTCTGAGAAATGCCACTTGGCATCTTTTCCCATTTTGATGTTCAACTGTAAATACTGTAATTATGCTCTGTTTACAATATGTCTGGCAATTTCATATCTTCGTTGCAATATTCATAACCAGGCACCATATTTCCAGTGTCAGTAATAATTTTCCAGGCAGTAAAGTACCAAAATCTCATTAAAGTCTAGATAAATTAAAGCAAAACACTGTCTATAAAGTAGCACCAAGTAGAGGCTAAAGGAAACCATTTGAACTTTCTGTGTATGATTAGATCTGTAAAAATCTGTTGAGAAAACTTTTGTCCACCCACTAACCAATGTTTCTGTAAAATCAGATCTGCCTTTGTGCGCTAATCCTGTCATTTTGCACAAGTTGTCTAAGCTATCTGGCGTGACCTATTCTTCATGAAAAAAGATGGCTTTCCATCTTTTATGCATCTTCAGGTTATATCTAAAACTTGCACATTATGTTTCACAGTGTTGCTAACTCATCTCCCACCCCCTTATAGTCCTGGAAGATGAGTGTTGTAAGGTCCTTTGAACATTTTTGCTTACTCCATATGGGAGAAAGTCTTGATGAAAGTCTTCCAGCCAAACTGCTTTTTTTTTGCTTACTATTATGCAATGCTGAATGAAGTTTCCATGCTAATTGATGTCATGTTCAGTGGAAACAGCAACAAGACCAATAACAGCAATAAGAAGTTGCTATTCCGAACAGCAGATGCAGAATTAACAAAGTCACATCAGCCAGCCCACCAATCAGAAAACTTAGGGA